CGTGTCGCAGGAAGCTGGGAACAAACCCGTTCTCCTCGCCATGGCTTTAAAGGACAAAACCATGGAAGGAATACAGGCTCTACGAGAAGTGATCCGAAGTTGCCAAGTGTGGTGAAGTTGTGCCATCTGGATTCAAGGAAATGATCTTGAGGCCATGACTCATCACCACCTATTTAAAAAGGACTAGAAATGAAAATGGTGGAATGTCTTTGTGGTGGTTTTGGACGTCCTGAGGAATTTCATGAATTTTTCTCTACTGTGTAGAACATTTGTGGGTTTTATTACTGGGACAGGTTTGCAAGTCCATATAGACAGTGGTGAGACGAGAGCAGTTGTCTCAACATGGGAGAGAAGTGCTACTTTTATCATGGTGGGTGGGTAATTTTTTTGGGAAAGGGCTCGGCTCTGCACATGTGTCCTGAGGAGCAGCAGATGCCAAGCTCTGTAGCTGTGCCATACCGCAAAGGGGGAACACCCAGTGCAGAGGGAATAAAAGAAACATTGTCAAATCAAATTTTACCTGTTTTCTTTTTTGCTCTGTGAGAATCACTTCAGTTGAAATACAAGCCTTGGTAAAAAATCAACAGCTGTATAATGGGAAAGGTTTTCTTGCCTTTTTTTAGGAAATGAGTCCTAGGTGGCTGCTATTGTCCTTATGTCCATTCCTTTCTGGATGTAGTCTCATTTCCATTTTCTGCTTTCACTCTGAATTTAAAGGGAGGCAGATCATGACGCTTTGCAAATTTCATGAAAGCTGATGTCAGGGTGGAAGACAGGAACCCAAAATAGTGGTAAGAAAATCATCTCTGCCAATGGATTACGTGGTACCAACACATCGGAGAAACAGAACATCCATAGACTGATCACCTGCAATGAGCATCTGTCTTAGGAGACATGGGGACAGATGGTTTGAGGGGTTGCACAGGGTTGTTTCTGCCAATTCACTTAGAAAAAGTGTCAGATTATGTTGTATGATCTGATGAAAAGATTAGTAGCCAAACTTTTGCCTTCTGCTTGGAAAGCACATTTGTTTTCACTTCTTGTAATAAACAACAAGAAGTAGTAAATTTTTAAGTGAGCTGTTACACACTTTTGTCACTTATGAACTTGACAGCCCAGACAGAGGCCAGGTCTTGGATTGTGGGCAGGGAGGAATTGTGCTAAGACCAGTTGGTACAGCAGAATTAGCACAGAGCCTGTGCCTGCCCCATCATGGTGATCCAGCTGCCAGGTCATTCTGCTGCTAAAAAATCCCCTAGAAGTAGAAAAGCAGAAAATGGATTTTGAAAGGACTCTTTTCTCTGAAGTAAGAGTTATTTACAGCATTTGAAGGGATTATGAGAAATGAAAGTATTTTTTAAAAATACAGTCAAACACTGCAGGCTTCCAGCTGCCCTTAACTTTAGATGAAGAAACTTCATCTAAAAATAATTTTCTAAACTGTGCTTCCAAGAATCAAAGATTCGCATCTGTCAGAGCGATAAATTTTTCTTCTTTTACACTTCTTTTTTTTTTTTTTTGTCTAGGAAGGCTGAGAGAGGCATGTGGAATTAGTTATTGTGAAACTTGGTTTGCTAGTAGGGATTCTCTGCTGACAGAAATGAGGCTCTTACTGTGTCCATAGCTCCAGCAGCTTGAGGAGAACATGCATGAATCAGCACATTGGATGGAAATTGCATCTTCCACTGTGGCAATACAGTGGCATACCACTGCTGTGCCCCAAAGAGCTGAGTGTTACTACCTAAAAGCCAGGTACAAGTTAAGCACCTTCATTTCCTGACTGTGTATGTGCCACCTGGTGTGCATAGGGTGGTGGGTGAGGAAAGGATGTGGAAACATCTCTGATTTGATGCTTGGAGCCAGGACAGACTTAACCTTGCTGCCTTTTCATGTGCGATAAATTAGAGCACGAGCAATTGGTCCTTCGACTTTGCTCCTCTCTGCTGCACAATAAACCAAGGAGAAGGCCTGCTCAAACAACAGGCACAAGGTGCCACCAGCTGCCTGCCTTTTAGTCGTCGCTCTCCTCTAGGCAGGGATTAATTCCCAATTGCTGGGAAAGCTGCCTCTGCCACCCAGGCAGAGCTCTTGCCCCCGGCCGCGGGCCGTGTGCTGGGCGGGGGGCAGCGGCGTCGGGCCGCACCGCGGCTTTCCATCCGTGTTTGCTTTCCGGGCGTGGGTGCCGAGCACGGCGGACTGGAAAGGTAAGTTGGGTGGCTTTTCTACGGGAGACAAAGCCCGACCTGCTGCTCCAGCTCCCGCGGGGCCCGGGGCGCAGGGAGGGCGCTGCCAGGGTGAGCCGGGCACAGCGAGGGGGTGCTGGTAAGGTAAGCGGGGCCCGGCCGGGCCCGGGGCGCAGCAAGGCCCCTGGGGGGCTGGCAGGGAGAGTGGGGCGCTGGTGGGAAAAGCGGGGTGCTGGTGGGACAGGGGAGCAGCGAGGGCCAGTGGGGTGCTGACGAGGCCTAAGGGCGGTGGGGCACTGGCGGGAGTCGGGGAGAGCGAGCGTAACTGGGGCAGCGGCAGGGCCCGCGGCCAGCGGGCAGGCAGGGCCGGGACGGTGTCCGGAGGAGGAGTCTCCGGGGGTGCAGGTGGAGGAGGGCACGGGGGATGCAGAGCCCGGTGCACGGCAGCCAGACTCCCTCCCGGAGCAGCCCCAAAGGGTGAGTGGGGCCCTGGGGGGTGTACAGCAGCTGGGGGAAACCTCACAAAGCAGGGTTGACCCAGCTGTTGGTTCTGAGCACCTGTGGGAGCCGCTGGGAGGGCAAAGCCTCCTCTAAGAGACCTGTGCCTGCGTCATGCACTCCTCCAGATGGGCTTCAGAGAGGGCTCGGTGCTGCCCTGCCGCGATTTGTAGCTGTGTGCTGTATGTCCTTCCCCCTGAGTGGCCTGATGGTGGTGTGGAGAGGCTGGTCCCGTAAATAACCCGAGTGTCCTGGCTTTATCCGACAGCAGTCAGGAGGAAAGGCATGCCTCCTGCTCTGGTGGGGCTAAGCCTGCATGCTCCCCTCCCCAGGATGTGGGTCAGGGATCTCAGAGGCGCTGCTGGGGGGCTGCGAGGGCTCACCTTTCCCTGACTTTCTTCACCCCACAGGGGGCTGCCACTGAGGTGGGGATTTATTCTATGTGCTGCAGGACACAGGGAGGGACGTGAGCTGGGGGTCTGGGCTCTGGCAGCCGGCAGATGGAGGGGAATCCCTGGCAAGGTGAAAAGCCCCATTTGCAGGTGGTCTGCCTGAACACAAGCTTCACTGCTCAGTTTATCTTTTCAGTTCTCACTTAGCATCTCTAATATCCCAGGGAATATGTGTAACAGGTGAACACTGTATGGCAGGTACCTGCAAGGTGTCTGAAAACAGACAGATTGAATATGGCTCAGTCCCATCAAGGAGCTGAATTTTGCAGCTGGTGTTATTCCCGGTGTCTCCTTGCTGCTTTTGTTTTGGAAGCAAATGGCTCTCTAACTGCATTGAATTGCCTGACTACCTTGCAGGGCCGGGATCTAATTACCTGTGGAGCTGGGAGCCCTGTCTCTGAGCGGCACAGAGGCTTTTGCTTTTAATGACTTGTTCTGCAATGTTCAGAGTGTGACAATGTCAGGGAGGCTGCCAGGACTGGTTGTTGGTGCCACCGTGCTCAATGGTGGGAAAGTTAATAGGAGATGGGATGTCTTGGGCCAAGCATTTGTGGCACAGCACTGGGTTGAAAACAGAATAAATGGATCTTGTGAAGAGCACAGCTCTCTGCCCTGTCTTGGGGAGTAGGCTGGATCACTAGAAAAGTGGCTAGAAAAACACAGCTAGAAAGAGTGAGCTTTCATCCTGCTCTGTCATGACGCTCTGGCAGAGGCAAAGCGTGGCCAAATCCAGATTAGCCCCAGCCAGCAGCAGGGCAGCCCCCAGGAGAGAGGAGTGATTGGAGATCTGGGCGCAGCCGGACTCTCATCTCCTTCCCTATGCCACGAGCTATCTCCGTCCTCCTGTTAATGTTTACAAGGCAGGTCCGGCAGCATCTAAGTCTGTCCAAAGACCAGCTCCCGCCCGGCTTTCCCGGGATCCTTTTTCCACAGGACGGTGGCAGGGAGGAAGAGCGCGGCTCCCTGCTGCCTGTGTAACACTACCGGCCCCGCTGCTGTCCCCGCAGCCAGCTCCAGCCCCGCTCCCAGCGGCACAGCTACTCCAGGGTGAGCTCCTGGGGCCTCGCCAGCTGCCCGGGCATCTCTGCTTACACACGACTGCTGCCAGGCAGAGCCGGGGAAAGGTATTTTTAGGGCTGTTGATCTGACACCAGCTGAGTTTGCTCTCCTGTGAGGTTGGGGTTGGGTGAGAGGGCAGAACAGGGAGCTGCAGGGTCAGCTCTTGCTTTGGTTTGTTTAATTGGACCGAGGTCATTCCCTACCACTCTTATCTGTGGCAGATATTTTTATGCTCCTCTCCAGTTCATGCTTACAGTTTTACCCCAGGTGATAGTTACCCAGCAGCTAAAATATTTGTTTATTAACAGTGCACTGAGAAGCATCTATATTGTTAGAGTTCAGCTTGCAGGTTGTTGGGTTTTTAAACCACTGTTGTTATACTTGGGAAAAAGCAGCTTTCCATAGATTAACAGAAAGAAAACCCAAACATGGCAGTTTATGCATCTGTTGGCCTTGAGATATGAAGCTTCCCTATAAATAATTGCTTATTATTAGGCTGGTCCTTGCTGTCTGTAACCACAGGGTACACGGTGCCGTATGCCCAGCCACCCTCTGCACCAGGAATGCTCAGTGCCTTGGGGCAGCCAGCTTTGAGGAGCACACACGGAGCAGCGAGATGCCAGAGCACTCCTGCATCCCCAAGGGCAGCAGCTCTGCCTCTGCCATGGCAGGTTTGCTCCCTTGTGCTTAATTGGGGTACAGGAGGGACTGCTGGCTGTCCTTCAGGTCTTGAGGTTGGCACTACTGGCACACTGACACCCCCACAATCCCAAAATAACTGGGTGAAGAATGTGGGTGACACCAAATGTCTGGTTTCTTGGGCAGCCCTAGGCTTTGCCCCCAGCAGGCCACACATGATGAAAGGAGCTAAATTTGGGGGGGACCTGGTGTTTCCTGGGCTCCCAAGGAAGATGACACAAGTGTCCTGATGGCTTGTTGGTAAGGAACTCTTTATTATCCTGGGTGAGGGATTGGTTTAACCCTTAAGTCTCTGGTTTCTGATTAAAAAGATGCACAGATCATTCCCTTTCAAGTGGGAGTGATTTCTGAGAAAGCAAGGAGCAAAGCTGGGAAGGAGAAGTGTGTCTTTTGGGAGACATGGGAACTGCATAGACCTCAGGAAAAAGAGGGTCTGCTCCTGAAGGATATTTACATTTTCTTGCTGGGAGAAGCAAACACAATCATGGCAAAGGGGCTGGTTTGGGTGAAGGACATCCTGGAAAAACCCTGGGGAGGAGATAAACCTCACAGAAGGTGTGTACATGCTGTGTGGGCTGGGAAATCTGCTGGGACCTTCCCTGTCCTGCACCACTCCCCTTCCCTCTCCCTCCCTGCAGATGAGTAATGCCACACGTGCTGTGCCCTCTCCCGTGGCACCTGGCACGCCGGGGCCTGGCACAGCAGCCAGGCTGGCCTCAGCCCCGCCATTCTCAGCTGTTGCCCTGCTTACGGCTGCCCACAACAACTCCCAGGAGAGCCAGCAGCTTTTCCTGACCACGACGGCGGCACAGGTCATCTCTGGCATCTTCGTGTGGTCAGCACTCATCGTCACCTTCCACCAGGTATGGGCTGCAGCACAGGTGGGGCTCAGCACAGGGGTTGACATGAGAGCAAAACTATCGATTGCCCCCAAGTCCATTGCAAATCACTCAGCTCTGGGTGAGTATTTCTTCCTGTTGCTGCCCAGAGGAGATATCCCTGCTGTCAGGAGCCTGGTGCTGGCAGCTCGTAAGGATGGACTTTGCCCACACTCTCCCCAGGTGGTTGCCAGAGCCAGGAGAGGCTGCAGGGCATTGGCACTGCCCAGAGGCAACACCCAGTGGGGCATTTGGGGTGCCCAGCACCAGCTGCCTTGAGGCATACCCCGAGTGGGCATGGTTTAGGGGGCTGTGCAGGTCCATGCTGCTGAAGGCAGCCCTGGGGCAAGCAGCTGTCTCTAAGCACTGGGATGGGGCTGCACAGGGGAAGGCACATTCCTCACACAGCCCAGGGAAAGAACCTGATTTCCACATTTTTTCATGCAAGGGATGGGCCCAGGGACTGGGATGGAGCCTGTTGTGTGTGTTCACTGTGATGGGTCTGTGGTGGAAAGCTGGCGGAGCTCTCACCCCAGAGAGGAAGGTTGACACAGCACCCCTGTGCCTTGAGGGCACCTCTAGTTCCCATCCTGACCTATGGCAGCCACAACTCTGCATGCTGGGCACTTTGCAGATCTACACACACCTGAGGAATTACACCATCCCCAAGGAGCAGCGCTACATCATCCGCATCCTCTTCATCGTGCCCGTCTATGCCTTCGACTCCTGGCTCAGCCTCCTCCTCCTCGGCAGCCACCAGTACTACGTCTACTTCGACTCGGTGCGGGACTGCTATGAAGGTGAGCACAGCATCTGCTCAGCAGGGAGGCTGAAGGCAAAGCAGGGCTCTCATCCTGCTCACCTGCCTCTGGAGCACCTTGCGTCGCAATCTCCATTGCTTTCGCTTCCCACTCTCCCTTCCTCCATGAAGGAGTTTTCCCCTTCTCGGCAGCAGGGAGGGAATGCCCCCCACACAAACATAGAGCTGCTGCCTTTCAGACACAGGCTTGGAGGGACCCCAGCACCACATTCCTGGAAAAGAGGTTTTCTGGCTGCCTGTGGGGTAGAAGTGCAGCTTCTCTAAAACACTAGGCAGATGTACCCAAGAAACTGGGGAGTTGGGGTGTGTTGAAGTGCAAGGGAAACTTGTCAGGATTAAGGCTGTTTTTCTACCTTGGTCCTCTCTTCCTCAGGAACTAAGTTGTGTGGGCATTTGCATTACTTCAGGTTTGGTGTATATGAAAAATAAGTGGTGAGGATGTCCAAGAAAACTTTCAAGATCTGCTGCTTGCTGGCCACCAGCCATTTGTGCTGCCCCTTAGTAATTCTGAAGTACTTCCATGCAGATGGTCCCTGGATAGACTGTGTGTGCCCAGAGGAGCTGCTGTGTCTGTAATGAACTCTGTGCACATAGTGCAATGTGTCTGACTCCACTTGGAAGTCAGATAGATTTGACCTGCTGCTCCTCTCATTGGGCTCTCACCCACCAGCATCCCAAATCTTGATGCAGTGCCAGGTTGGAAACACCTGAGCAGGAAGGAATGTGAGATGAAACAACCCCCTCCAGGACTTCCATCAGTCCTGCTGATCATGTCTGCCCTTGCCTTGGCAGCTTTTGTGATTTACAGCTTCCTGAGCCTGTGCTTCGAGTACCTCGGAGGGGAGAGCACCATCATGACAGAGATCCGAGGGAAGCCCATTGCGTAAGTCCCAGCATCCTGTGGGTTCCTCCTCCACCCACTATTCCCACCCAGCACCCCCAATGGCATCCCCTCACCTTCTGCTTCCAGGTCCAGCTGCTTTTACGGGACCTGCTGCCTTCAGGGTATGTCCTACTCCATTGGGTTCCTGCGCTTCTGCAAGCAGGTGGGTACCCCATGGGGAGCACTGACTCCTCTTCCCTCAGATGAGGCATCTCTGGGGGGCAGGTTCCTTCCCCACTGCCCTGCCAAGGGGGCTTAGCTTCATTATTCACTTAAGATGCTGGATTTGGAGGCTTTTTTCGTCTGAGGGAGGCAGGTCACCAGCTTGCTGGCACCTGGCCAGCAGCAAGGCTGCTTGCTGTCCTTGCTTCTGACTCACTGCTGAGTCAGGGTCTCCTCCCACTGCAGAGCTCAGATTGCCATCTCTGTCCAGTCCCAGGTTAGCCTGGACGCTGTCTCACTCTCCAGCACTGCACTGTGGGCTGAATCCTGTCACCTGTTTGTCCCCAAGCCCTCTGGTCCCTCACCTTGGACTGGCTATGCTGCCTTTTAAGAGCTGCCTTCTGGAAGCCCCACTCCCTCACATCTGTAGACCTTGTGCTGGTTCATATTTCACCCCAGAGCACTGCTCTCTCCTCTGTGTGTGTCCCTGGAGCAGAGGGGTGGGATGTCCTGCTGCCCATAGTACACCACATCTCTCCCCTGTGCAGGCCACGCTGCAGTTCTGCATTGTGAAACCCCTCATGGCAATCGTCACCATCATCCTGCAGGCATTCGGGAAGTACCACGATGGAGACTTCAAGTGAGGATGCTGGGTGGGGCTGGGTGGGGTGAAAGGGAGAGGATGGATCCCTGCTCCATCGCCAGTGTGTCCTTCCAGTCTCCCCAGGAAGCTGCTCCATGGATAGAGCATTGTGAGCTTAAAGTGCCAAGGAAGAGACTCACTTCCCCCAAACAATAAAGGGACAAAACTCCTGTGAGCCATAATAAATAAAATAATAAATAAAATTAGGTCCCACTAGCAAAGGAGAAGCTGTTATCTCTGCCCTCCTCCCCCTCCTGGGCTGTGTTCTCCCCCACAGCAAAGTTATGCACCCTCCCCTTCCCCATTTGATCCCTCTTTGCCCCCAGCTGCATTTGCTTTGCTCCCCACAGCCCAGGGCTGCAGCTCTCTCTCTCTCTCTCTCTCTCTCTCTGCCTGCAGTGTCCACAGTGGATACCTCTACATCACCATCATCTACAACTTCTCTGTCAGCCTGGCCCTTTATGCCCTTTTCCTCTTCTACTTCGCCACCATGGACCTGCTGCGCCCGTTTGAGCCAGTCCTCAAGTTCATCACCATCAAGGCTGTCATCTTCCTCTCCTTCTGGCAAGGTGGGTCCCACCATGGATGCCCCATGCTTCTCCTCCCATAGCCCCACCTGGATCCGGGGTGCAGGAGCAGAACTCATCCCTCTCCCTTCCCCCACACAGGGACATTGCTGGCAATCCTGGAGAAATGTGGGGTGATCCCTGAAGTTCAGATCATCGATGGGAAGGAGGTAGGAGCTGGGACAGTGGCTGCTGGCTACCAGAACTTCATCATCTGCATTGAAATGTTCTTCGCTTCCATTGCCCTGCGCTACGCATTCACCTGCCACGTGTACAGGGAGAAGAAAGAAAACTCAACAGGTAACTCTTCCTCACTTCTTCCTTTCTTCAATGACTAAGGAAAGAAGAAACCTCCCTTATTTTATTAGTATCCCATTACCAGTGGGATGCTAAAAGCTACAAGAGCAATTTCTTTATCCTGTACTCCATGCATTTCTTCTCCCTCTTCCCTCATGACACCCACAAGCTAAAACAAGGGGGCAGGTAAGGAGATCTTGGTGTGGCTGGGCAGGATTAGGGGATGGTGATGTTACCCACATGCTCTTGGAGAAGATCTATCCTTTGGAACATGGAGCTGGGATTGCCTTCCTTCTCCTTGGAACTGCAAGCTGGCGTGACTGATCTTCAGTTTCTAAGGGGAAGTGTCTTGGATCACTTGGGCTCATTGTCTGCTGTCCCATCACCCTCCTGCTGTCCCTGTTTTGCAGCAAACCTCGCCCCGATGCAGAGCATCTCGAGTGGGCTGAAGGAGACCATCAGCCCCCAGGACATCGTGCAGGATGCCATCCACAACTTCTCACCTGCGTACCAGCACTACACCCAGCAGTCGATGCAGGAGGCAGAGCGCAAAGCACCAGGGGAGAATGGGCATGTGGCCTCCAAGATAGATGGACAGAGCAGCAGGAAGAGCAAAAACATTGAAAAGAGAATGCTAATCCTGTCAGATGAAGAGCTGTAGGAGGTATCAGAAGAGACACTGACACTGAAGAGGTTTTAATCCATGCAGAGGGCAGGTGTCTTGAGGCTGAGACAGCCTGGGCTAATCAGAATACTGAGAAGCCAGGAACTCTATCCAAAAAGCCAGTCTCTCAAAGGGAAGATGCAATAACCCAGAAAAGGTTGAATGAAATAGTGCCAGCTTCTGATGTCATGGATGAAGCTGTGTTGGACCCTGTGTTGCAGCCTGGGCTTTGCTGACCCACTGCTGCTGTCTCTCTGCCAGCCCTGTGCCAATGCTGGGGGATGCCAGGCAGGGAGGGGAGCTGGGGTGCAGGACAGACCAGCTGCCCTCGCCCTACTCTTACCTCCAAGCACTGCTGAGGCCTGAGAGAAATGCTTTTCTCAGCACAGTTCTGCTCTAGTTTCTCCCAATTTGAGTAAAAAATGATCTCCAAGGGCTCCGTGGAGAAAACCAGCCCAGGAAGGTGACTTCGCTTCACCTCAAAACCCGGTAAAGGTTGAAAGACGTCATTCCTTATTTTTACATCTTTCTCCCTCTCCTTCTCACAGCAAAGCTTATAGAGATGTGCAAAAGACCTTTACCATGGAGAAAGAGTAAGTCATCTTCTTCTCCCTCCAGATGTGGATGCAGCTGTCCAAGTAACTCCCCTGGGAGTGTGGCAGGACCTCACTGGGACTAACCAGAGGTCTGCAGCTGCATTTCTGAGAGCTGCCGGTGACAGAAGTGCTTGTTTATGTCTAAACCAGCTTATCTCTGAACGGATCAGAAGTTAAAAGGGATTCCAGATTCCTTATCAGAATCTTTACTAGGGAACCAGACTGTGACTGGTGGTGGTAGGAATTCACTTAGTGGGAACTGTCTGTTCCTCCTAACCCTTCACTATTCCCCATCCCTGGGTTTTGCCTGACCTGTGGGAAGGCAAGCAGGAGCTGAGCCCAGCTGGGTGACCATGGTGAGGATAGAGAGGTACTGAGGGATGTTGCCACGTGGGGCAAGACCACAGGCAAGGGAAGACTGTGTATGGAGGGATGATCTTTGTATCAGTGATGGTGAGCTCATATCCTTCTGTTACGACTTCTCCTTTCTTCCTCATTTCTTAGTCTAATTTCTATTCTTCTGTTAATGAGATGATCTCTGGGAATGAACTTAGGCACTGGTTGGGCTGTTGTCTGGGAAGGTAGCTAGCTAGTGGAAGGGTGAAGGCAAATCTATCGCCTCAGATTTGCAGTCATGTGGCAAACAAACCAATGGATAAGGCTTGGAGCCCTTTTAAACACAACTCATAGAATTTAGATCCTTTTTTTCCCTGCTCTTAAGCTGCAAAATGTAAATCACAACACAAAATTATTTATTTTTTTTCCTAATAAACAGCATTTTCTAGTACAGAGCAAGCATGCATTTTCACTGAGCTCAGCAAGCAAAGCCCACGATCTGCCTGTTCCTGCTATAATGCTGATGCTCTTAAGCTTAACGTCCTCCCTGCCCCTCAATGCTGGCCCAGCAGAAATACCTGCACACGCAGCATCCTGCACATTTTGGCATTCCTACAGGATTTGTGCTCATCTTTTTCACTCCACAAAGAACGTGCGTGTCTCCCGCTTCCTCTCCTCGCACAGCACCTCCTCCACCCCTCACCTAAGCTGTGGATGCAGTGTTCAGAGGTGCTGGATCTGGTTTAGCTAAGCTAAGCCCAGAATCCAGCACCAACAAGACAAGCTCTGTTTATTATTATTATTATTATTGGAGAAATCTTACCATGCTATAGCCCAGATTCCGCATGAGCAACCTATAGTTCAGCCAGTCCTGCAAGTCCCTCTGGTCCGAAGGAGCGCTGCTCATACCTGCTCAGCCGGTGAGACTGCTGCCACTTTTCCTGCAGGAAGGTCCATAAACAAGAGCCAGATGCTGTGCACATCCAGGCATTCATCCAGGATCCTGCACATCCTGGGAGCAAGACTGTCCTGCATAGAAAGTGCAGCCTCAGTACTCAGGGACAAGGCTGCTTGGCTTTGTAATGCAGCCAGCACAGAAGCAGGGACATCTCAGCTGAACATCTTGGTCTTCACCCCTCTGGGAGAGGACAGCCACAGCTGCAGGAACAGAGGCTGCTCTGGCTCCTGGGGCGAGGACAGACTGCAAAGGTGATGATGGCACATCTGCTGGCGTGCTCACAGCCGCTGAGATAAAGACTTGCACAAGAACACAGCAAGAACCGTGGTTGTACTTCATTGCACAAATGATCGACTCTGCTGCATAATGGGCTGCCTCCATTGCTCTGCCAGCAGGTGCAATTCCCAATGCAGACAATAACATTTGCCTATTTATGTCAAGCCCTGATTACTGTATTATATGTAAAACAGATCTTTCTTGCAAGCCAAACAAGGGGGGGAAGAAAAAAAAAAAAGTCAGCTGTGACTCATGCAAGTCAGCAGTGTGATACCAGCCTGAAGGAGCCGTGCTGGGCTGGACACCAGCTGGCTGCCGCGACGGCAACAGCAGGCACCCTCCCTGCTCCAGCCGGCGAGAGCTGGGCCTCCTGCTCGTCCTTCTTCTTGGAGAGGGAAGAGAGGCAAGAGCTGATGGCTCAGGCTGGGCACTGTCACGGCCCTCAAACCCTTAGGCTGTCAAAAGGCATCCATGGGGAACAGAAATGCCAGCGCTGATGTAGGCTGGACACGGTCTCCTCTGCTAACGCGTCTCCTCCACCTCCTCAACAAGGACACGGGGAAAGCTGGCGGCGAGCACACGGGTGACCTACACAGGAGCCTGCTGTGCCTGGAGCCACGCCAGCAGGCAGCCCGGGAGGAACAGGCGTCTCTCACTGCCAGCAGCAGGCTCCAGTGGTCGGCAGATTTGTTTTCCCGTTGTCGCTTGTCCTCGGGCTTTCCCCAAGGACAAGGCTGAGCTGCAGCTATTGGATCTCCTGGTGCTTTTTGGGCTTGGATCAGGCAGGTTTACACCCCACTCGTGTCAGGGATGATCATCACAGGCACACTCTGCCACTACACCTGCAGGAGCTCAGGCTAACCTCCCTAAAAGCAGAGGGGAAGGAAGGCAGCTGCTGGCACTCTCATGCATGGCTGCTCGCTGCACAGCACCCAGAGACAGACACTTCTTTTTTTGGGTGCTAGCACTCACCAACAAGTGCCTAGGCCCAGCTGCTGACAGGCAGCAGGCTGCCAGTCCTGTGCCAGAGAGCAGGATTTGTGCTTTCACCACCCCGTTCAGAGACCTTCTATGCTCCTCCCCTATGCATGGTGAACATTAAGCTTTCTTTCACTTATGAACCTTCACCTGGCCCATTCCTGATGCCCTTTTCCTCCTGAACTAATGCTCCTCCATCCCTCCAACAGTCACAACTGGCCCACCTCCCTGTCCCCTCTGTTGTCACCAGCTCCTTGCTGCAGTGACTCCGGGCAGGAGCCAAAGCAGCTGATGATGCTTTTTTTGCTCAGCACAGAGACTGCCATCACCCTCAGGCTTCACCCACGTGCCTGCTCAGCCAAGCCTGCCTGGCCCCACCTAATGACCATCCATTACCTGCTGACACACAAAGCCTTTCAGCCCTGCTCCTCTTCACTTTGCCCTACCTCTTAATTCCAGCTTTGGCCAACACACCCATCTGTCTCCAACCTACTGCCTCAACACAGACCAAGTGTTTTACCCCCTTCAGCTGTTCCCTCAAGAAACTCTACCCCTTGAAATACGGAATTAAAGCCAACACAGCCCCTGAAAGCTCACTGGCACAAGGTACCACCTTTTCAAAAGCCCCAACGGGGAAAAGCAAAAAGATGAAGTATTGATGTAAGGGGTTAAAGCAGTTTATTCACAAGCAGTCACACAGGGAAACCATGAAGGGATATGTCACAACCCAAAGGAAGAGAGAGGAGTGTGTCTCTCCAGCACTTCCAGACAGGTCACAGTGTCTCCAAGCCACAAGTGGCTTTGCTCAGCATCACAACTACAGGCAGGTGCCTGCTGAGCTGTCAGTCCTGCTTGTGCTAACACAGACAGCCCCTGATTGTGCACAAAGACAGAGCCCCTGGGTCAGGAACAGACACACACGGTCTGAGCACAGCATCGACCTGACAAACAGCTCAAACAAGAGCTATCCCTAGAGCACATTCCAAGTGTCCCAAGAAAGCACCACAGGAAGGCTGAGATGGGCTCCAGGAGGTTGGGTCAGATGATTGCAAAAGCCCAAGCTGCCATCCCACTTGCCTTAGCCCAGCCTGCCTCCAAAAAACACATTGCTCACCGCAGCGCCACGGCCAGCCGGGTGCTGCACTGGGGACAGGCAGCAAAAAAACCCGAGGAAAACACTCCACTGAAGATCAATTCAGGCTCCAAAACGCTGACCATAGACCAGGGCAAGTCTGAAACCAGAAAATGCTTTATTGGAAAGGTACAAAAAAACCAGTCACTGCAGCTAAATTTACAGCAATAAATTACGTTGTGGCTGTCAAGAGAAGTAATGGACACATACACAGGGCTATTCGCCTTACAAACAGGAATCCACATTGCTTGGTATATCAATAATTTATTTTATAATAAAAAAGCAGCACAAAAATAAATATTGAAATGAAATTACTGAGTAACCACAGAGGATAGAATGAGCTGGTGATAAAAAACAACTTAAAACAGAAGACTTCTATCATTAAAAAAATGAAAGCAAGTATCCACCATCTACAGAAACACCCCAGCAGACTGAAATACAGACGAAGGAAAACAAATCCACATTACAAAAGTTTTTCAGTTTTGTTTTGTTTCTTTTTTTTTCCATTTTTTTTCTTTTTTTTCCTTTTTTTTTTTTTAAAATAAAAACAATCATGACAATGAAGTTTAAATGATTCGAGAGAGAAAAAACTGCCACCTTCTCCTCCTCCCCGGGTCTGAGCCATTCTGTGGCGCAGCTCGCCTCCGCCCCGGCCCAGCGCCAGCGCCTCGTCCCTCCCCGCCGTCCCGGAGCTGCCGTGGCACCCAGGTCTCTGCACTTTGTGGTCTCCTCCTGGCAGATGCAGAGCTGGGCAGGAGCAGAGACGCTGCCTTGTTTCAAAGGGATCTGGAGCTGCCCTGGAGGGAAAGGTTCCCCACTCCCAACAGAGAGCACAGCAAAGTCTACGAGAACAGAGGTGTCCCTTCCCGACGCCTTCGTCTTCTCCTGCCTCCCACCCAGCCCTCTCTTCCCACGTCACACTGCGGATGGGGAGCAACCAAAGAAAGGCCAGGCCCAGGCGAGAGGATCCCAGCACCCAAAAAATCAGATCCCCCGCTCCTCCTCAGTGGGGTTGGGGGAACAAACTAAGAGGGGCAGAGAAGGGAGCCCTGGCATGCAAAGTACTGCAGCAGAGCGAGGCGGGAGGTGCGGCTGCGGGACGCGTCCCACGCCGCCAGCTCCCCGCGCCGCGCTCGCCCTGGGCGTCAGGCTGGCAAGTGCAGGACGGAGAGAAAAAAAACAAACAAAACAAAACGAAAAAAAAATAAAACACAACAGAAACAAACCGAACCCCAGAGGAATGCAACGCGACAACCCCAAGCTGGAGGGCCCTCCAGGGAGGAGGGTGGAGGAGCTGGGTCTCCAACGCGATCAACAGCTTTCGGGTCATTCCTCCCTCCACGTTACCTTGCAATTCTGATCCCTCTGTGGAAGTTTAGCCAGGACATTTCATTCTCCTCCAGGTCACCACCCAGGGAGCCCTGGACTGGCAATTTCTTTTAATAAAGATTTACAGTATCAAACTTGGAAAAAAAATTATTTTTTTTCTTTTTTACGAAAAATCTGTACGATAAAATGTATATAATTATATATTTATATATATATTTCTCTCTCTTTAAATATTTCCACGTGGTCCTTATGGATATCCAATATGGATTACCTACCATGGCTATGGTATCAACAGCTTTAACAACACCCAGGCCTCTTGTTCTTTATCGAGTGACCAGAGATTTAAGTGCCTACCAGCACTAAACTAGCAATCACTTGGACAAGCCTTTGGCACCCTTCCAAGAACTGGAAAAAAAAGAAATACTTGGCCACAAGGGAAGTGCCACATAAAGATATGTTTCTCAACTCATTCCAACAGCAAGAAGACCCCAGGAACAAAGTTCAACCTCTGTCCCCTTCAGTGAGACAGGTCTGATTTCCCCGGAGGGGTGTCAAGGGCAGCCAGAGGGTGTTCCTATCTAGCCAGGAATGTTATGGAGCTCTGGAGCTGTTTTAAAGACTGGAAGCATTTGGGCATTTTCAAGTCAACTGGCCTTTTTCATTAAAGTTTTCATTTAAAGCCCCAACAGTGCCAGGAGTCTCCATTTTGCCTGTTTATGGAGGCACCTGTAAGGTCTGGGAAAGTGTCCAATGTCTGTGAGCTGGAGAACATGAGAGGACCAGGAAATGACCGTAACATCTTTCTCTTCCTCAGCTTCTGCTGTGGGAGTCAATAACTGGTACTGATACACAGGACATCGATCTGCCTGTTTGGAGATAGGGAGGGAATGGAGGAGAAATGAGGTAACACTAAGTGCCATCCAAACTCTACGTGTTGGAAAATCACTTGAAGGAAACTCCCTGCTCCCCTCCAAAACATGTGGATCTGGCAGGGGGAACGAGCCTTCAGGAAGCATTTCACTGACACCCTTTCTGGCTCAGTAAAGTCACGGATGTCGATGTTGGGGACTGAATGAGAACCAAGTCTGAGGTTTCTTCTTTTCATTAACCTATTTCACAAAGGATCCTCCT